GGCCAGCAGCACCAAGGTGGACAAGACCATTGGTAAGGGGACAGTCTGCACGGGGAGGGGTCCCCTGGAAGTCAGGCAGGTCTGTGCCACCTGGAGAACTCTGCCATGCCCCTCATGCTCAGGGAGAGTGCTCTGTCTCCACCAGGCCCAGGGCAGGCACAGTCTGGATGCCCACGTCTTGGCTCCTGGGTACATGTCATAGGCCTGGCAAGAGCCATACCCAAGAGCAGCCTGGCCCTAACCTGAGCGCGCCCAGGGCAATACTCACCCTGTCTCTGTGGGTGCCTTCCTCCTCCAGACCTCAGTAACCCCATCCTTCTCTCCAGCAGCTACCTGTGTTACTCCACCTACCCCATGTCCACCATGTCCACGTAAGTCACCAGGCCTTGCCCTAAGCCGAAGGAGCGGGACGGGTGCCCAGAGGAGGCTCAGGCAGAGGGCAGGCCCCAGGTGCTGACCCGTGTCCTCCATCTCTCCCACACTAGCTCCTGAAATCCTGGGGGGACCATCYGTCTTCATCTTCCCCCCAAAGCCCAAGGACACGCTCATGGAGTCCCTGACCCCCAAGGTCACATGCGTGGTGGTAGATGTGAGCGAGGATGAACGCGAGGTCGATTTCAGCTGGTATGTAGACAACGTGGAGGTGAAAACAGCTGAGACGCAGACACAGGAGAAGCAGCACAACAGCACAATCCGCGTGGTCAGTGTCCTCCCCATCAAGCACCAGGACTGGCTGAATGGCAAGACATTCAAGTGCAAGGTCAACAACAAAGCCCTGCCCGCCCCCATTGAGAGGACCATCTCCAAAGCCAAAGGTGGGAGAGGGCAGCGGGCAGGGCAGGGCATGGGGCTGCCTGGTCACATGGAGCCTGGCTCAGCCCGCCACTGCCCTGTCAGTGACCTCTGTATTGACCTCTGTTCCACAGGGCAACCCCGGGCGCCAGAGGTGTACGTCTTGCCCCCGGCCCAGGAGGAGCTGACCAAGAACACCGTCAGTCTGACCTGCTTGATCCAAGGCTTCTTCCCTGCCGACATCTCTGTGGAGTGGGAGAAACAGGGGCAGCCGGAGCAGGACTACAAGACCACCGAGCCCATCCTGGAATCCAACACTTCCTACTTCCTCTACAGCAAGCTCAGGGTGGACAGGAACAGTTGGCAGGGAGGAGCCCGATTCACATGCTCAGTGATGCACGAGGCTCTGCACAACCACTYCACCMAGAAGASCYTGTCSCRGTCCCCGGGTAAATGAGCCTGGCGAGTCCTCACCCCACGAGGACACTGTCACCTTCCCTCACCTGCCCGTGTTAATAAAGCACCCAGCCTGCCCTGGGACCCTGTGAGACTATCCTGGTTCTTTCTGAGGCAGAGAGCTCTTGGCACGCCTGGGCTGTGGGCTGTCGGCCAGGCCTGCCTCCGAGGCCCAAGTTTTCATGGCTAGAGAGAGGGAGGGGTCCCACACGGCCAGACCCAGAGCCAGTGTCTGCCCAGCTGGCTGGGGTTTGCCCCCGCAGGGCACGAGGCTTGGCCAGAGGCTGAGCCTCTCCCAGACCTTCCCCAGCCCCAGCAACTCTGGCTGATYAGGGAGATACCTCTCAGGAGGCCCCAGGAAAGGACACAGCCCCCTGTCAGAGACTGTCCTGGTGTCCTGATTCCCTGTSCAAGGATCTCCCTGTGTCCATGCAGGGGTTGACTAGCCATGGGAGTGAGGATAGGCCCTCTGTGCACTGCCCACCCCTGGGAACACCCACATCYGGCAGCCCTGAATGGCCCAAGGGAGGGACTGTCCAGAACCACACAGACACAGAGCCCAGACCCTTTGGACCAACCCACATGGCACCTGCCCACACTCGTGCACACTGGGGCCTCACACGGGCAACATGCACACACCCAGAGCCAGCAAGTGTCCGCTCACTGCACACTCACAAGCACACGGGCTCACCCACGGCCTCACACACTGACCAGCTCAGATCCCAGCCTCCTCTCAGGAGGCTCCTACACCTGACACACCCAGGCCCGACACCCACACTGACCCCCACACAGGCACACACCCCYTTACCACAAGATCCAGCTCCCTCCGCAGTGCAGACTGTCCCTGTAGCTAGGGTCACACCAGGGACAGGCTCTGCCATCTCTCCAGCCTCTGGGCCTGGTCACCACTGAATAAGCAGGGGCCACACAGGCTGCAGGGACATCCCTGCAGGGTCACAGGCCCAGTGCTGCCTGGCCAGCCCCAGCACTGACGCCTGGAGCTCCCAGCAAGGAGCTCCCATGAAGTCTAGGCACCGTCCACAGCCAGGGGGTCTGGATGAGCTGGGCCCCAGTGGGCGGAGCGGGGGCTGAGGCCCACCAGAGAAGGCCACCAGGGAAACCTGGCCCCAGTAGGCGCACTGCTGGCCCAGCCCAGCGGCCCTTCTCCTGGCCCCCGGGAGGCAGCTCCCAGGTCCCACCTTGGCGCCACACACTGACCACCCCCTCCCTGTCCAGAGCTCAGCCTGGATGAGAGCTGTGCAGAGGCCCAGGACGGGGAGCTGGACGGGCTRTGGACGACCCTCACCATCTTCATCAGCCTCTTCCTGCTCAGCATGTGCTACAGTGCCACTGTCACTCTCTTCAAGGTCGGCCACACTGTCCCCCTGCTGTCCCCATGCCATCCCCCGTGACACCACACTTCCCACGCACAGTCCAGCAGTGTCTCCTATGCTGTCCCCGTGCTGTCCCCATGCCCACACTGTCACACGATGTGTCCTGTGCCATCCCCACACTATTCCCATGCCATCTCTACACTGTCCCACGTTGTATCCCATGCTGTCCCCATCATGTCCCACAATGTGTCCCATGCCATCTCCACACTGTCCCGTTATGTGTCCCATGCTGTCCCCACACTGTCCCTGTGCCATCTCCACACTGTCCCACAATGTGTCCCATGCCATCTCCACACTGTCCCGTGATGTGTCCCATGCCGTCTCCACACTGTCCCACAATGTGTCCCATGTTATCCCCACACTGTCCCGTTATGTGTCCCATGCTGTCCCCACACTGTCCCACGATGTGTCCCATGCTATCCCCACACTGTCCCGTGATGTGTCCCATGCTATCCCCACACTGTCCCGTGATGTGTCCCATGCTGTCCCCACACTGTCCCTGTGCCATCTCCACACTGTCCCACGATGTGTCCCATGCTATCCCCA